TTCCACTTATCCTGTCATTGTGAATGCTGATTTGGATCTTCAACAAGTGGAAAGAATATTGCAAGTCTTACGAAGTCATCGAAGAGTTATTGGCTACACCATTGATGATATTGTTGGCATAAAGGCATCTTATTGCATGCACCGCATTTACTTGGAGGATGATCACAAGCCGAGCATTAAGCACCAAAGACGCCTCAACCCGAACATGAAAGATGTTGTTAAAAAAGAAATTCTTAAACTATTGAGTTCGAGTATCATTTTCCCCATTTCGGACAGTAAATGGGTAAGTCCTATCCATGTGGTACCAAAGAAAGGAGGAATTACTGTTGTAAAGAATGACAAAAACGAGCTGATTCCTACACGAATAGTCACTGGATGGTGCATGTGCATTGATTACCGCAAGCTAAACAAGGCTACTCGGAAAGATCATTTTCCACTTCCCTTTATTGATCAATTGCTGGAGAGGATGGCTAAGCACAAATATTTCTGTTTTCTTGACGGATTCTCTGGATTTTTCCAAATCCCAATTCATCTGGATGATCAAGAAATGACGACATTTACATGTCCTTATGGCACTTTTGCATATCGCAGAATGCCGTTTGGATTATGTAATGCACCAGGAACCTTTCAAAGATGTATGCTAGCTATTTTCTCGGATCTTGTCGAGGAAATTATGGAAGTTTTTATGGATGATTTCTCGGTTTATGGGATTTCATTTGATGATTGTCTTGAACATCTTGATAAAGTGCTGAGCAAATGTGAAGAAGTAAATCTTGTCCTCAACTAGGAAAAATGTCATTTCATGGCAACCGAAGGCATTGTGCTTGGGCACAAAATTTCTGAAAAGGGCATTGAAGTAGACCCGGCAAAGATAGAAGTAATTGATAAATTGCCACCCCCTTCTTCCATCAAGGGGATTCGCAGTTTTCTTGGCCATTCGGGATTTTATCGACGGTTTATCAAGGATTTTTCAAAAATATCAAAGCCTTTAACCAATCTTCTCTCAAAAGATGTGGAATTTAATTTTGACGAATCTTGCTGCGCCGCATTTTCAAAACTCAAGTTGGCCTTAACTACTGCACCAATTATTAGACCACCTGATTGGAGTCTTCCTTTTGAACTCATGTGTGATGCGAGCGATTATGCCGTGGGAGCCATTCTGGGTCAACGCAAAGGCAAAGAAGTATATGCCATTTATTATGCAAGTCATACTCTTGATGATGCCCAATCAAATTATGCCACCACTGAAAAAGAGTTCCTTGCCATAATTTTTGCCATTGAAAAATTCCGATCTTACCTTATCGGTAGCAAGATTGTTGTCTATACCGACCATGCGGCTATCAAATACATCATCAACAAAAAAGATGCAAAACCGAGGTTGTTGCGGTGGATCTTGTTACTACAAGAGTTTGACATGGAAATCCGTGATAGAAAAGGATCTGAAAATGTTGTTGCCGATCATTTATCTCGACTTGAGATTCCTTGTGATACCAAGATGCCAATCAATGATTATTTCATTGGGGAACAACTTATGGCTGCTCAAAATTTCGATCCATGGTTTGCCGATATTGCAAATTACCTTTCTCATGGGGTAATTCCACATGGTGCTACACATGCTGAAAAGAAGAAGTTAAAATATGACTCCCGCTACTATCATTGGGCAGAACCTTTTCTCTATAGAAGGTGTGCCGATGGAGTCATTCGACGGTGTTTGCCCGAAGATGAAGTTTCAAATGTCTTGCACCATTGTCATTCCTCAGCATATGGGGGACATCATGGAAGCTCTCGTACTACTGCAAAGATTTTACAATCGGGTTTCTTTTGGCCCACTATTTTCAAAGATGCAAGCAAATTTGTGAAAAACTGTGATCGTTGCCAACGTACCGGCAATATTGGAAGAAAGAATGAAATGCCTCAACATGGCATACTTGAAGTCGAATTGTTTGACGTGTGGGGGCTCGATTTTATGGGGCCATTTCCAAAATCAAATGGGAAATAGTTCATCCTTGTAGCTGTTGATTATAGTTCTAAATGGGTAGAAACAGCTGCCACACCGACAAATGATGCCAAAGTGGTGATCCAATTCATTCAGAAAAATATTTTCTCCCGATTCGGAGTTCCACGATCTTTCATCACCGACAATGGTACTCATTTTTGTAACAAAGCATTGGAACGTGTCCTTTCCAAATATGGGATTCACCACCGACTCTCAACTCCATACCACCCGCAAACAAATGGCCAAGTGGAACTTTCAAACCGAGAAATCAAAACAATTCTCGAGAAAGTTGTTAATCCTTCCCGAAATGATTGGGCCGAAAAGCTTGATGATGCACTATGGGCATATCGCACTGCTTACAAAAATCCCATCGGCACCTCACCATTCAAATTGGTGTATGGGAAAGCATGTCACCTTCCTGTTGAGGTTGAACACAAAGCATATTGGGCAATCAAGACACTCAACATGGATCTTGCATTGGCGGGTGAGAAACGACTGTTGCAGCTAAATGAACTTGAAGAATTCAGACTTGCAGCTTATGATAGCTCAAAACTCTACAAGGAGAGAACAAAAGTTTTGCATGACCGGGTGATCAGCCGAAGAAAATTTGAACGGGGAAATAAAGTTATTCTATTTAACTCACGTTACAAATTCTTTCCCGGAAAGCAAAAGACCCGATGGTTGGGTCCATTTGAAGTACTTGAAGCATTTCCATCCGGAGCACTCCTGTTGTTAAACAAAAGCGGCCAAAAACTCATGGTAAATGGACAACGGTTGAAAGTATACCATGATGGTGAGAGGCAAGAGGCAACTTCTGTGTATTGCCTCACTGATCCGAAATATGAATGAAGAGGCATGGGTCAAGCTAATGACCTTAAACGAGCGCTTCTTGGGAGGCAACCCAAGTTTGTAAATTTCAAAAAAAAAACAAAAAAAAGCAAGAAAAAAAAAAGAAAAAAAAATGTCTAGGTTTTTGTTTTTTGACTCTAAAGGGGCCACATCCGCTCGAAAGGACATCTCAACATCATCCGTCCGCACTTCAGGGAAGTTTTATTTACACTTCTTTAATTTATTTTCCACTGAGGACAGTGCAAAATTTAAGTGTGGGGGAGTGGGTAGTTCGACCCTAATTTCTTTTTTTTTTCTTTTTCCTTGCTTGTTTGTGTGATTTTATTTTCTTTTATTTTTATTTTGTGTGTTTGTTTGGAAAAGTAAAGACCAGTCTTGTCCAAAATACAACAATAGACAAACAACACATTAGTTTACACTTTTTGTTACTAGTTACTTCCATAACTTTTTAAAAGTATTCATTCACCTCTTTTGACGAAATGTGGTTTGAGTTTGAGAAGTGTCACTATAATTTTTTGAGAGTAACTTAGTATTAACTTTGAACTTGATTCTTTTTAACACTTTAACATTAAACACCTTAGATTTAGTTGAATTAGTGAAAGTTTGTGCAGATTAAGATGTTCATACATTTATTCTCCTTGAAATTTTATTTGAACTTGACACATTTAGAAATGATTTAGGCCATCTTTGTTTACCCATGAAGCCAAACACTATCCCTTTGTAAATAAATAACACTTTCCCTAGTAATCCCGTTCGAGCCTTTTCAGTGTACAAGTGTAAAATATCTTACTTCACTTGTTACTAATTTTTTTTTATTTGTAACCTTGTAAATACATAACCTTCTGAAGCCCTACCCAAAGTTAATCTTTTCTAATCCTAGAGTAGATTGTCTTGTTACTTGAGAGTGAATAAATGGAGCTACTATTAAGTGTCATATGAGTGAAGTACATATTTGTTTGTAAATTTTGGGGTTAGTTTTTCATTGTAATGTTCAGTGTGTGCCCTCTTTGAAAAACAAAATCAAAAAAAAAGAAAAAAAAAAGAGAAGAAAAATTGAAAAAAAAAAGAAACAAAAAAAAACAAAAAAAAACAAAGAGGCACATTAAATTCTTGTTGTAATTTCTTTTGTAAAACCCCATTTTTTACTTTTCATGTTTATATTTCTCATTGTTTTGTATGCTCCAAGTTTTTGTAAATTCTTGTGATGATCCGCTCAGTATTAGTACAATCTAACTCTCTCTGTATATTCTTACACCAAACTTTCCTTCCAACTAGCCACACTCATTAATCTCGCCACTCACCGAAAAAAGTCCTAATTGATCTATTTGTGTCATTTTTTTGAATTTAGCGGATTGGAGAAACTTGTTCTGCATAACCCGAACTAATTTAGATCTATAGGTGTTTGTGTTAAAAGTTTGATTTGAAAATCTTAGTGATAGGCACAAATACTCAGTTTACTCTCATTGCGTTATTTTGTGACATTTCAGGGTATTGGACCGTTTAGTGGACATTAGAGATGTATGAGTGATTTGTTTAGTTATGTTTGTAAATTTTACCAAATTGTGTATATTTTTGTGTTTGTTGTTTGTTTTACTTGAGGACAAGCAAAAGCCTAAGTGTGGGGGATTTGATATGGTTATATTTTACACACTTTTTAGGCTTAGTTTGTTGTTAATTTTAGTTATTAAAGTTGTACTTTTGTACATATTTTTATTATTTGTCGTTAGTTTGTACTTGTGCAGTCCTACACGGGTATTTTGTATTTTCAGGTACTTTTAATGCTATTTGGATCATATGTGCATCAATTAAAGAAGAAAATAAAAGTTCAAGTTGAAGGTTAATAAAAGTGAAATTTTCTTCAAAGCAAATAAGGAGTACATTGAAGAAAAGAAGCAAAACATGAAAAAATGGAGTTAGAATTCAAACCCAGCAAAGAAAAGAAGACTAAAAAGTTGAAGTCAGATTCGAACCCGAAACCTCCAAGATAGCTTAAGCACTTCATCCGCTGGGCTACTACACACTGTTGTAACACCATTGCGCTTTGTTGTACATAAACTCATCTGTTCCGTAAATTCCAGCAATTAATGATTAATCACCTTATCATTATATTGCCTTAATCCATCTTCCTCCACACATAAGCTCGGACCAACCTCTCTCTAAACATCCCAGAAACATTTCCTCCTCCTTCTCTCTTCATTTCTCAACCCCAAATCATCAACCCATCTTCAACCATAACTAATCACTTTCTCATCCAAGATTAAATCAAGATTAGCATCAAAGCTCCAAGGATTGTCATCTATCACAAGTTTGATCTTCCTTATCTCATTAAATCTTGTACTTTAATCATGGATTCATCTATTTCTATGTTTCCTAACATGTATAGCTAAATAAATTTGGGGCTAGCAATTGGTTAATTAATTGTTCTTATAATGTTTTAATTTGTATTGATTTTAATTGTTAAGTTTGTTCTATTTAGATTGTTGTGTCTAGAAAATTAATTATGTTGTGTTTATGATATATATTATGAGTACTCAATCATAAACATATTGTTTGTTAAATACACAAATGAACACTTTCTGAACACACCGTTAAACTTCTTTTACCTTGTCCCGGATTGAAGTTTTACGGGAGAATTTAATTATTTAATTATATTATTTACACCACGGGGTTGGGTAAATAATATAGTTAATAATTAAGGTTGTCGTTGCACTTGAACAACTAGTCTCGTTTTGGCCATCACTGGGAAATGTTGAGTAGTTACTTATTTTAGGTGACTTGTGTTGGGTCCTAAAATATTTATCTACAACTTCTCACAATCTATCTAAGAATAAAATTAGCAATTATGTCTTACAAATGAGCATTGAACAATTAGTTGCCAATTTCTACCCCTACTTGCTATTGGTTGAACTTTGTGTTGATAAAAATCTCCTCTCAATCACTTTTATTTAATTACTTTTCCAAGCAAACAAAAATCAAAAGAAACGCACTCCCAACTTTAATCCTTAGTTTGTGCTTAATTATTTTATTTCCCGCTTCTCTGTGGTTGGACACCCTACTTCCTTGGGTAAAAAAAATAGTTGTGTGCCCATTATATGCTACACACCATGCAACAAAACATGGGACAATTTCAACAAACCATGATACAATTTCAACATGAGACAAGGTCAAGCATTAACAATTTGGAAACTCAAGTTAGTCAAATTGCAAATGCCGTGAACCGACTTGAAACGAAGGACTCGGGTAAACTCCCATCTCAAACGGAGCAAAACTCGAGACAACATGTGAATGCCATCATGTTGAGTAGTGAGACAACATGGAAGGAGGTAGATCAAGAAATTAAGGAGGTGGACCTTGAAGAAGAAGTTCAACCGGAGGAGGGGGTCACAACAGCCAAGCTCCTTCCACTGTCATCATATGAACCAGTAGCCCCGTTTCCTGAGGCACTGAGAGAGACAAAGAGACCGGAGAAAGATTCTGACATCTATGAGACTTTCGCCAAGTGTGAGGTAAACATTCCGCTCCTTAACTCAATGAAAAGTGTTCCTCGTTTTGCTAAATTTTTAAAAGAATTATGCAAAAACAAAAAGGAAAAATAAATTGAAAGAGAAACAAGAGATTAAGGTTAGTGAACAAGTCTCAGCTATTTTCCAAAATAAACTCCCCGAAAAATGTAGCGACCCAAGCATGTTCACTATTCCTTGCACGATAGGGGGCACCACATTTCCTAGGGCCTTGTTGGATTTAGGGGCATCAATAAATGTCATTCCTTATTCCGTTTATAAATCCCTACAACTTGGCCCACTACATCAAACCGGTGTAGTAATTCAACTAGCGGATCATTCTAGCACTTACCCGAAGGGTGTGATAGAAGATGTGCTAGTAGAAGTGGAAAATATGGTTTTCCCTGTCGACTTCTATGTCCTCGAAATGGGAAATGATGATCAAATAACACCTGTCCTGTTGGGTAGACCCTTCTTAAAGACCTCAAAAACTAAAATTGACGTATCTAGTGGTTCATTGACCTTAGAATTCAATGATCAAAAAGTAGAGTTCAATATCTTTGACTCTATAAAAGACCAAATTAAAGATCACTCTCTGTGCTCTTTAAATATTTTTGAACCACAGGAACCGATATTTTTGGAGAAACCTTATAAAATCCCAATTTTTCGAGAAGAGGAAAAAATTGAACGTAGAAAGTCATCATTGGTTGAGATGTTGACAAGAACGAAAGTTCGGCCTTACTGGAAAAGGCCAAAAAATAAAAATGAAAAATGGCAAAATAGGGCCTTGAAAAATGAAACAAGGGATGCTCATGACCCCACATAAAACAAAAAAAAAAGTGAATAACGTCGTGTCGCGACGTTAAATAAGGCACTTCTTGGGAGGCAACCCAAGTTTATATTTTGTTATTTTCATTCATATTTGTGTGTGTTCTTGCATTTTCAAAAAAAAATGGTGTGAGGCATGATGCCCGATCGGGCAACACATGTACCCGGTCGGGTATAAGCAAAAAAATCGAATAAGCCTGGATCGGGCAACCCATACTTGATCGACTCAGGGGTTGAAAATAATAATATACCCGATCGGGTACCACTACCCACCCGGTCGGGTATTGCTAAAAAAATCAAAAAAAATCTCGTAGCAACTTACCCGATCGAGTACCCGACCTATTCGATCGGGTATCAACTCCTGGGCTGAATTTAATAAAACAAGCACATACCCGATCGGGTGTACACATGTACCCGGTCGGGTATATTTTGAAAAAGGCTAATTTAGTTCGTAGCAAAGTACCCGATCGGGTACACCCATACACCCGGTCGGGTAAATTAAATTTTTAACGGGGAATTAGTTCGCACCAAATCGCCCGATCGAGTATACCCCAACTCGATCGGGTAGGAGCCCGGATTTTGAAGAAATACACGAATACCCGATCAGGTATGTCAGGCCACCTGACCGGGTACACCAACTTTTTACCCAAATCAGACCCCAAAATCGACCACTTCATCTTCTCCAACTTCCTAAATTCGAAACCCCTCTCCCAAACCGACCATTTTCGAACCTTCTTTCTTCAATTACTCCCTCATCTCTCACCCAAATCACCTCATACAACAACCAAAATCTTCCCCTCACTCTCCTCTACAACCTCATACCCACAAAACCATCTCTCTCACCATATACCGCAAAAACCGAAACCCTACCCATCTCACCCCTTCTCCGAAAATCAAGCTTCAACAAACACACCAATGGCACCCAAAAGAGACAAGGCTGAGAGTTCAACTGCAAGGGGACCAATTCCCGGATTTGAGGATGTCCGGTTCGGCCCGGGGAATCAAAGGCAACGGTTCTTGGCTCAAATAAAAAGGTAAGTAATCCCCTCCAAATTTCTATGTCATGATGCTCTCACTGCTTTAGGCCTGTTGAAAAAAATGCACAATTTATTTCATGAGTTGGATATGAACTCTATTTTTGATATGAAGTATAATTGTAATGAGAGGGTGATTTATGAATTCTTGAGCTCGGCTAAGTTTGTTGAACGTGAGGAAAGGGAGGAGTTCAATAACGACACACTCACATTTCGTTTATTCAACAATGAATACACAATAACGAGATGTGAGTTTGCCCAACATTTTGGCATCCCTGTGGCCCATGAGAGGGGAATACCGGAAAATACAATAGATAGCCACACCTTATGGGCTAAAATGACCGGAGAATTGAATGTGAGCGCGTCTAAACTTTCCATTAGTCACGTTTAACATCCTATTCTCAGACTTTTCCTAAAGTTTTTGGCCAATTGTTTGCTTGGTCGCCCTAACAACCACCACACTCGGATGGGGGACGTGGCCATCCTCACCCTAGCCCTCTTCCAAATACCCGTGCCATTCAACCTTTGCAACCTAATGTGGGATCATTTGGAGAAAACTTGCAACAAAACGGGTAATATTGTTGTCGGGGGGGGGGGGGGGGGGGGGGTCATTATGCATTTGGCCTCCAAATTCGGCTATGTGGATGATGAACCAATAGTCGATCATTGTTTGATGAATTTGACTTGGCTTGGAAATGCGGGGTGCATCTCCTTCGCCCACAAAGACTATAACGGGAGAAACCACTACAAGTGGCATATCCTACCCAAACCAACCATCTACTTCCCTATCCCCTCCAAAGAAATACCTAAACTTAGGTATAAAAGGGCAAGTTTTGAAATCACACATTACCTACTTCCTAATGCCATACCACCACATTTTCAAGCCCAAGCCGAACAACCCGAACAAATTGAGCATCAAGAAGCCCAGGGAAATGCCCAACATGATATTCCCGACCCCCCTCAAAACCCACCATCACAACACATCCCCAATCCTCCTTACAACCCTCCTCCAACCGACTATTTCCAACAACTCTTGGAGGGCCAACAAGCACTACTTGCCGGGTTTAACACAATGAACCTCAACTACACAAACATGGGTGAACAACTTGCACAAGTCCGAGAGGAGCAACGGACGGGCTTCCAAAGAATGGAAGAGCTACGGCAAGCCGACCTCCACCGCTATGAAGAGGACTATCGTAGGACTTATGGTCTTATGTACTCATATATGGCCCATCACGAGAATTTCTCTTCTATGGCCACTCCTCCTCCACCACCGTCTTGGTATGACCCCTCTCAATGGGATAACTTTGGAGGTTCGAGCTACGGTGGTGGGGGCTATGATGACGGGATGGGAGATGACACTACCATGGGTGAAGGGGGCAATGAGGGCGGCACCGGTGGAGGCTTTGGAGGAAGTTTTTATGGCGGTGAAGGCGGGCACTAAGGATAGTGCCTTGATCCAAGTGTGGGGGAGGAAGACTCATTTTTTGGTATGTTAAAATCCCTTTTGTTTTACCTCATACTAAGCATTATTTTCTTGTACTCTTTGTACGCACACACACACACAAAAAAAAAACAAAAAAAGGAAATAAATGCTAGTTAGGTTGAAAACCCAAAAACGGGCAATCTAAGCAACAAGGGATTAAAAAAAATGAGTGAGTCGGAAAGGAAGGAAAAACAAAAAGAGATGCTAGGATGAAAACCTGAAAAGGCTCCTAGGCAAAACGAGAGATATGAGAGAAATTTGTTTTTGCAGGACATCATCTATTGAAGAAAAGAAGAAGAAGAAAAGGAGAAGAAGAAGTAAGGAGCATAGAAGACCCTTAAACCCAAGGAAATGTTGTTCTGTAAACTCATTTACAATATTGGTGGTCTTAGTTTCTTATTTCTTACTATCTTTGAACTTATGATCTTTTGATGAACATTGTATAAACATTTGGTTTTACTCGAGGTCGAGTAAAGAAACTAAGTGTGGGGGAGTTGACATTCATGTAAATTACATATTTATTTCTGTGTTTTTAATTAGTTTTGATTGATTATTACTTTGGAAATTACACACTTTTGGTGTAATAATTTAAGTTGTAAAAATGTTTGTAATTTATTTAGATTAGGTTTATACTGAGCTCAAACAGGTCCAAGATCACTCTAGGGACCATTGGTGAACATCACAAATGGAAGGAAGGTGCAAAAATCTCAAGATTCTGATTTTTGGTGTTGTACCCGGTCGGGTATGACCTATACCCGATCGGGTACCTTGTTGAAAAATCAAATCGGATCGGATCCGGGACAAGGCCACATGCAGGGGAGATTTTGGCATGGTCGAGTGTTCATACCCGATCGGGTGGCCGACATACCCGATCGGGTATAACCCAGTTTTTTATACTTCCGCGAAGCAACCAAGTACCCGATCTAGTGCCTTTACAGCCCGATCGGGTACAAGACCCTGCAAGCCTAAAAAGCCTATAAATACTCCTCTTTCCTTCCCACAAAGATCACCAATTCCTTTATACTCCTAAGCTCAGTCTAGAATAGTTCTTCCTTTATATTTTCATCATGTTTAGTCTCCAAATGAGGAGCTAAACTCTTCCATCTTGGTTTTGCTACTTTGAAGCTTAATGAATTTGTAAGTTGTGAGTTATTCTCTTTAATTGTCTTCATTGAATATTAATTCTTCCTTTAAATACTATTTCTATATCAATGTTAGGGAGTGTTACTAAGATGACAATTAGTTAACATCTTGACATTAGTTATAGTAATAGTTATTTCTTCCTCTATGTTAATATTGGGGAGTGTTACTAAGATGACAATTAGTTAACATCTTGATATTAACTATAGTAGGATTCATACTCTTTAATATTCTGCCTTGAGTATTAATTAATTCCTATTCATATTTCATATTAATATTTTGAACATTACTTAAAGGATCAACTAGTTTTGTTTCATATATTAATTATTACTAGAATCAATCGATTAATATGTTTGTTATTAATCCGGTTCCTTCAACGGTAGTAAACTTGGATTGTTAATGCATGTGTCTCATCATTAATAATCTAAGGGGAATTAATTATATTGATTAAACCGATAAACCGCTTGTGTTGAGGTTATCAATCTCAATCGTTTTCATCTCAAGTTTATTGCTACTATCGTGTTAATATACGGCGCATGTTCTATATTGACTCGGTAGTAAGTTTTATTAATGAACGCGTCTCGTTATTAATAAGTACCCTCGATGAACTGGATATACTCCTCGATTGAGTATTCGAGAGGAAGATAGTTAAAGATATAACCGGGATCGACGAACATTTCATTAAGTGGATAAAAGCAAAACCAAGTCCCCATCTCTATAAATTAAACTCATATAACTCGTTTACCTTAGTGTTAATTAAATTCAATCAAATCAAACTTAAAACCCCCCTTGTTACTATTTATATAAAAGAAAAGTATTCCTTTCCCTATGGATACGAACCTTACTTCACTATACTACGTATTAGTGTTGTATTGATAAATTATTTTGAGTGCACCTCACGATAAGTGCACGTCATCAACCAAGTCATTAAGGACTTCTGTGATCAAAATAGAACCTTTCATCAACTCTCTGCCGCCAGAACACCTCAACAGAATGGCGTAGCAGAAAGGAGGAACATAACGTTGAAAGAAGCTGCAAGGACGATGATTGCAGAATCAGGATTACCAATGAGATACTGGGCTGAAGCAATCAACACTGCATGCTACACCCAGAATAGAAGCATGATCAACAAGAATCATTAGAAGACCCCTTATGAAAGGAAGGAAACCCAACATCAGTTACTTCCATATATTTGGATGCAAATGCTATATTGTGAATAATGGAAAGGAGAATCTAAAGGTATTTCAAGAGAAAGCTGATGAAGGAGTATTCATAGGCTACTCGAGCACCAGCAAAGCCTATAGAGTACTCAACAGAAGGACTCTACATGTTGAAGAATCCATACATGTAAAGTTTGATGATAGCACCTCTGTTGAAGATATAACAGAGACCCTGAAGGAAGTCACTCTAGAAGACAGAACACCTGAGTCAACGGAAGAGATAGCAGTTAACCCAGTGTTTCAAACACCTGCACCAAACCCCCTTCTGTTAAATGAAGATGAAGATTCAGAAGATGAGCAACCAGAGAAACCCAGACAACAACTAACATAACCTGATCTAACTTGGTTAAGATATCATCCTCCTAATCAAGTGATTGGACAAATCAGAAGTGGTGTACAGACCAGATCTGCAACAACAAGAAGAGAAGCAATGTTTGCCTGCTACATATCTCAAATGGAACCTATGACTGTGGAAGAAGCCCTTGCAGACTCAGACTGGATCAATGCAATACAAGAAGAGCTTACACAATTTGAGAGGAACAAAGTATGGGAACTTGTTCCTAGACCAAAGCATCAGAATGTCATTGGAACCAAATGGGTATTCAAAAACAAAGCAGATTAAGATGGCAACATTGTAAGGAATAAAGCAAGGCTGATAGCTAAGGGATACTGGCAAGAAGAAGGAATTGATTTTGATGAAACTTTTGCACCAGTTGCCAAACTTGAAGCCATCAGAATCTTCCTAGCCTATCCTGCATACAACAACATCAAGGTCTATCAGATGGATGTCAAGAGTGCATTCCTGAATGGAGATCTTGAAGAAGAAGTTTATGTGGAACAACCACCAGGTTTTGTCATTCCTACTCAATCTTTGTAACACCGACCCCGAGCATATTTAATTTTAGTAGACGATGTAATAAACCTTGAAAGATGATTTATGAATTTGCGTAATTGTTAATTTTTACTATTTCTTTTACGTGAATAGTAAATTGCATGTGGGGCCCACAGCGGGGCCGGGGACCGCCCGATAATTCTTGAACCACATATCATATTCATCTCGGTCTAGATAATATGTATACGGTGGTGGATATCTTATTTGGGCCATAAGAAAGGCATGGAGTTGACCGGTGGGTCAAACGAGGCCCAATTACCGGTATTGGTAATTTAGCGGATAACAGCCCGAAATGAGTATCGGAGACTCCTAAATTAATGTTGGGGAATGTACATCTATTCTAAAGGCCCACAATTATTAGGAACGCGTGATATATTTTATTTGGCCCGATAAAATAAAATATAATTAAAACGGTCCGAGAAATACAACTTTCGGGGCCGATTATACACACCGGGACATAATGGGATGACCTCCCACATAAGGAGGGGCCACCCCACGTTTTTAGGTGACCAGATTGACAATTTGAAGGGGAGGGGCGTGCATGAGGAAGCCTCATGGAGACAAGTCTACACCCACCCATTAACTCCCTTGTCTTACTCCCTCAATCATCCCTCAAATTGATTGAGGAGAAGATATCCCCCCATTCCATTTCACCCGCACAAGCTTAACCTCAAGAGAGAGAGAAGCTCTGGAGTTGACTTCTACAAACCTCAGCCACAGTTGGAGAAAGCTAGGAGGAAGGAAACCCAAGAGAAACCAAGTTAAAAGAAAGGTAAGAATCCAAATAGTTCTTTTAACTAGTTTTTGGTGTATGATTTTTAAGAAATCATATGGTGGATTAAACATGATGTTCTACACGTTTAAAAGTGTAGAATATTGATATAAAGTGGTGTTATTTAACTTAGGAGAGTTGGTGAATCGATAGGAGTCGAAATCGCCGGAAACCGCCACTTTAAAGGAGCTGCTCGTTTCTGCAGACCACGAAAGCCGCCCGGCTTTCGTGAAAGCCGCCCGGCTTTTGCCCAGCAGTCCAGTTTTACACCTTCAATCGGCCTAGAACGGGGATTGATCGAGGGGCTTAGCAAAGGCAACTATTTCAGCACTTCATAAGGTGAGGATGGCTGACTATATTGCTTATAATTAGTGAGTTAATTTCATGAGATTACCGAAGGTAATTAAATGTGTTTTTATGGATTATTAACGATTAATAATGCCTAAAAATGAAAAGATTAAATGTCTAGAGAAAAGGGAGCATGATATACAAATTTAGGAATAAATTGTGTATGTTCATGTATTATGAGTATGTTGACTTGAAAGTGGAATTTGTTATGAAACATGTGTTGAAATATACTTTTTCTTCATATTAGAATATATGAGTGATTAAAAGTGATATTTTGGATATTGACATAAATGATATTTTCAAAGGAAAATCAGTTGGAATTGTCTATATGACTATAAGTTGAGAACTTGGTCTGTTGATATTAATTTGACTAGTATTAAGATGCTAGTTGGACATTAAAATGAAATGTTGTTAAGATTGATCCTAAGGTTGGATTGTGAAATATTATGCCTTAAGTAGTCTTAAGAGATGCTTTAAGGTAGGAAAGTATGAACTTTAAGTTATACTAGGGGTAGGCCTTAAGGGATACCCAAGATAGTGTGAATATTAAATTGATCCTAAGTATAGGATTGGCCTACGGGTGTGATCGGTGATTCTTGTGGATAGCCGGTTGAATTATGGAAATAGTAAGGACCATGGCCCTTCCCGACTCTAGAGAGCGGGGTTGGATAGCATGGACTTACATCGTGATCACGGGTTAGGGTGGAATCCGAATCGGAGACCTAACTAGGTTCCGGTAGCGGTAACACATAAGATAGGACCCCGAAGGGCCTTACCTTCCTACGGGATGATGGGTACGAGTCCAGGGGCGGGATGTTGGAGTCCGAACCGGGAGCCTCATGAGGTCTCGGACAGCGGTAGCAAGTCCCGTAGAAATAATAGGACCCAAGGGTTGGGTTGTGCAAATGATAAATGAAAAGGGATATATAAGAAGGGCCGTGTGCCGACAAATAAATAAATTTACTTATTATAAAGATAATAAGTGGGAAATATAAATTACTATTTATATTATGATATCACCCTATTTTGAGGGTCTTGGAAATTAAAACGTTGATTATACTTAGTATAGTTGCTATTGTACTTGTCAAATATTTCCAAGTACTG